GTTCGTAGCTATCAAGAGGAGAGACTGTGGGGAGTGGGCCATTCCAGGGGTAAGAACAAAGCTCCAGAGCCAGTAGACATTTCCCTGCTGGTAAGGCAACAATGCGATAACTGGCATGTGTGTGATAAAAGCATGTTTTTTTGATGAATGACCTCGTTTTGCAGAGGTGAGGAGAAATGTTCCTTAAACTAGCTTTGCCCAAGCATCGGCTGGTATGCCTTCTGCTGTTTCTGCATTGCAAGGCAGTATTCATATTTAATTCTGACCATGTCTTTTGCTTAATGTAGGCACAATTTAATCCATTGGAGGTTTTGAAGGATGTGTGTGCTTGCTCTTTACAACTAAGTGTAAAGTTGCTGCCATGTCCAGAGTATGATGCAGGTGGATGTAATATACTAAGAACCAGTCAAAAGGGAGTAAAAACAAGTGGAATCTGAGGGATAGTCACTGTTTTTCTTTCCCCCTCCCCCCGCCTCTAAGGGGATGGTGGACCCAGGAGAGAAGATTAGCACTACCCTGAAGCGAGAATTTGAGGAGGAGGCCTTGAACTCCTTGCAGAAATCGCCTGAGGAGAGAGCAGAATTGGAGAAGCAACTCCACAAGCTGTTCAGCCAGGAACACTTTGTGGTGAGCTCTGTGTCTCTTGTGATAGCCTCTTAAGCTATGCATGTAACTTGCAGCTGTATGGAACTTGAAAAAGTGTAGCTGAAATGAAAATAAGCTGTGATGCTCAGGTTGTCATGGTGTAGGAAATGGAAGGGACTATTGAAAACTCTGTAAGGGCAAATGTATTGGAGGAAAAGAAAAAAATCTTACTGATTTCACCTTGTTTGTTGTGACACTGAGCTTGTTTCAGTTTGTTTTGGGCCTTAGGTGTACAGAGGATATGTGGACGACCCTCGTAACACTGATAATGCCTGGATGGAGACGGAGGCTGTGAACTATCATGATGAAACTGGTGGGTATCTCCAAGTGTGCTTTTAGTTGCCTTTTACTCTATATGTTGGTTTGAACTTGGGATGTGTGTTGGGCTGAGATTGGCAATGAAATGGGGGAGCATGCAAGTCAGGTGTAAAATATTGGACTAAAACCAATGGGTGTGAGGGTCTCTTGTCTCCTAAGATATTCAGCCATGACAGGTAGTTGTCGTTCCCCTTTGGTTTCTGTCAGTCTTGAAATAAGGAACATACAGACTGCCTGAAGATTGATTATTCATTTGTCAGCTAGTTCTAAGCTATGGACCATGTGCCTTCGTATGGAGATTGAACATTGGACAAGGGTTCCTTCTTGTCACTGTATTTAACTTGAGTTGGTTTAATTTCCCTTTTTAATGAGTGTGGGGTAGAAGGATAGTCTGTTTCTTTTGTTATTTTTCCTTTAGTAGCTAGTGTGTGCTTCAGGAGCATTGCCTCTGGCTGCTGGCAGATTTTCACTGCGTTTATTGCTTTGGTGTTGTAATTGCTCTGAGACCTTTTATCCGTTACTCTACCAGAGTAATTGTTGGACTTTATTTTACTTCTGTAAATCAGTAGGAATGGGCATACATTGCTAGTTCTTAGATCGATCTATTATCTTGGATTCTCATCTCTCACCTTTTAAGGTAAATCAGTCTAGTTAGGTGTCTGACTTGTTCAAGTCAGAGACTTCATATGGTGACATTTCCACTGTGTTTTGCGTGGTAGATACCAGTGGTGAAGTTTCACATGTCCTTGATTTATCAGCCCCCAAAAACAGTGAAGATACTGTTCCTTTGGTCTTTGTTTCTAATACACTTTTTGTAATACTTTTAAAACCATTTCTTTGGTTGTTGTCTGTGAAGTCCTGGGATTCTTTTTGGAAACAGAGCAAGAAACTTTGGAGAGCAATTCAGAAGTCTTTCTGCATCCCTCCTTAAGTACTATTTTTGATTTTGGGGCCTTTAGTAAAATTTTAATTATTCTGGTTTTCCATAAGCATATATAAGTTTCAGAACTCAGTTTGTCCTGTAGAATAGTACCTGAGAAAGGAAGCAGTCAAATGTTAGGCAAACAAACAAAAATCAAGGCAGAGGATTGGCTAAACTTGAGGTAGTGAGTGCATGTTGTCATAATGATTTCTAGTAACTTGTCATGCTGCTGATGGTACCCTAGGAGTGGTGACAAGGAGTTAACAGCACCTCTGCCATGCAGATTTGCCTTAAAATAGTCCAAGTATGAAAAAGGTTTCTGGCACAGAATTGATGAGCAACTTAATTGTTTTTTCTCTGAGAAGCAGTTGAAGGTTGCTGCCTGTGAAGGAGCCATGTGGAAGGGCGGAACTGATCAGATGTGAGAAGAAAAAGCAGGAAAGAAGATGCAATAGCATGTCCTAACTCTTGTTTTGTGAACAGGTGAGACAATGGATAATTTGCCTCTGGAAGCAGGTGATGATGCTGGAATAGTGAAGTGGGTTGACATCAGTGAGAAGCTCAAGCTGTATGCAAGTCATAGCTACTTCATTAAGCTTGTGACTGAGAAACGGGGAGCCCACTGGAGTGAGGATCCTGGTCCTGAGTGCTGTGAGTGATGTAAACAAGGAACCGACAGACACCAAGGGGAGAATGTTTTCCAGCTTTGAAACAGATGACGTTGTCCTTTTCAGTGGAAATTCAGTGAAAATTCCATGAAATTCAGCTGGCAAAAACACTTGGCAGTGATAAATAGAGGCTTTTTCAGAGACTTCAGATTGCTTCTTTTGATTTCTTAGCTAGTGTGAAATGAGATAAATGTGGAGCTGTTACCTTGTTTTGCTTTCTTGTCTTCATTATTTGCAGCCATTTCATAATATCTGCAGATTTGCATGTGTCACGACAGCATGGCAACGCTGGGATTCTGGTTGTAGTTCAGAGGCTGTTCGCTTTAGCTCTGTATTTTTGCACTGATTTCTTGTCAGGAGTATGAATCCTTAAGGGATGTGAGATTTGTAGGATGGTAACCTGAATAATTCTAAGTGCTACATAATAAAGTGAAGTTTCTTTTCTGAGTCGTTTCACTTAACATGTCTTTTCAGTGATTTTCTATTTTGAGAGACTAGTTTTCACATTTAATTGCTTTCTTGTTTACAGTATGGATGGTATTCACATCTGAATGTTTGACAGTGCCTCTATCTAAAAAGATAACTGTTGGAGGATGTAACTTGATGACTGATTTTTGGGAGCTGGATTTCGAGGTTCCTCTCTTCCTACTGCTTATGGCAGTACAGCTGTTGGGGAGACTGTGCCATAAATAAGATCATTGGAAAGAGCAGCCTTAAAGTGTAATCTTGTAAATTGTGGTGGTTTTTTACAGTTTAGGTAATGTGAGTAACTTGCAGTCAGGAGGCTGATGTGGGTCTTCTATGGCATTTATGCTGATAACAAGAGCTGCACAACAGTTGCTGACATTTCTCCCTGTGTTTTTAATCAAGGGGTAAATGCTGTTAATTGTGTAATAGTGTCAAGAGTTGGTGACAGTAACGGCTAAAAGTTGTGGTTGAGACCTGGGGAGGGGATCTTAATGAATTTTGAGCCATGTGTTGAAGTAGGGTGGTGATATGGTCTGGAATTACCTTGTGTAACAGTACTGTGACATGCTCATGCATTGTTGAGACTGTCGGCCACATCCTACTTAAGTAACGAATGATTTTAGGGCTTGTTCCTTTTCAACACCACCCCTTCCTCCCAGTTAGCTAATGAAATCTGGAGGACTCATGTGCGTTTATGCGAGGAACCCTGGGAATCTTGTAGAGTTGTTCCTTTCAAAGAAAAAAGTAATGCTAAGCGTTACTAATTTTTCCTTCAATCCTTGCTCACCTCCTCCTGCACATTTGATTTCTTCTGTGGTCTTACTAAAACAGCATGAATGCTTTCTGTTGCAGTAGAAGCTTCCATAGACTTGGTTTATGCAAAATCTTTCTTCAAACTGTAGGTAAGATCTAGTGGTTGCTTAGGCAGAAACAATTTTGATAAATCTGTCCTCAGCATAGTATGGAGACTGGGTAATATCTGGTAGGGCCAGATCAAGACCTGAGAGAACCTGTGAAACTCAGAATGGACAAAAGGCATAGCCAGCTTCAGGAGTTCCCTTCCCTTTCTACTCCTGGTTTTTGGAAACAGGATCACTGAAATGACCTGGGTATATTTTTTCTTAAGAAAAGATGAAGACAACTAAGAAATTCTATGCTTAGCATTTATTCAAGCTTAATAAGCAATCAGACAAGGTTTGAGAGCGCTGTGCACTATAACCCACACTGGCTTCAGAGGTGGGCATGTGACACAGGACTTGCTTGTTAGTTATCCTCAGTTTCCAGTGCACTGGTGAGACAAAGGGTGGGAATGAGCTGTAGAAAGTTGAAGATTATCTGGAAGTAACAGTAGGAGATGTAGGAGACATCCATAGTTTTCCAGGTATCTGCAGAGTAAGAAGAGAATGGCAGGTTAGAATTAATAGCAGTTAATTACTGTAATGTGCAATTAATACATTATGCAGAGCAGGCCCCTAGCAGTGTAGTTAGGTTTTGAAAGCATGACCACAAGAGCAGACCCTTTGCTCATTCAGAGCAGTTCATGGGAGGTGAATGTGCAGCTCATCATGGCTGAGAACAAGGGTGACTATACTGTGGCATGTCAAAATAGCATGGGGTTTTTTTCTTGGATGTTACTGTTTACATATGAAGCTCTTAACATAATGTACAGTACTAAAGATGAAAACATAAGAAAATAATTTAAATTCTGAAAGTACCATACTCAATGAGATAGAAAAACTCCACTGTTTCGATAGCCAGTGTGTTATTCCTGGAAAGCAAAATTTCTGTAAAGAATCTTTTCAGTCCTCACTGGTCTTGTGTTAAAGTCTTTTTTTGACAGGCTAAGTGGACTTGGCTGTATGTTTTTTTGATTGTCATGTTTCCAGGAAAGCTTTCTGGTTAGACAATTTTCAGTTGGAGTGTGTGATCTTAGACGGTATGCTGTACAGAATGCAATTACTTTATGCGTATCTCAGAACCTTACTAATTAGGTCTTGATGCATTCTTGTGTCCTGAAATTTATTGCATAATTACAATATTGAAAGTTTATAAGTAAGCAAATGTAGTGGCATTTCTTTTCGTTTGGCAAATCTTCTGGAAAATGGACAACTTCTTTATATGGGTGATGTTAGCTTGTGTATTAATGCAAGTTAGATGTGTTGGCAAGCGTTATTTTTCAGTCCTACGTGTTGTGTCTCTAACTTATCCTAAACTACTTTTTAAAAATATCTAAGAGATCATCTATCCCCAAGGCTTGGCATACCCAGACAAATACTCAAAGAATATCTAAGGAAGAGCAGCAGAATTTTGAGAAAGTTCGTAACCTCTTTTCAAGCTGAAGAAAGTGGTTTTTTATTAAAAAAAAAAGTTACCCCATAGAATGCATGTCTGCTAATAGGAAAGCAAAGTGGATTACTGTCCTCAAGCTTCAAAGATAAACCACAGTCCCTCCCCCGCTCCCTTCTATGGTAGTTTGTCATTCAGAAGCAGCTCTCTCAATATCCCTGATGAAGTGCTCCCTGGCCAGCTACAGCTTCCTGCAGTCTTATGTCCCATTGTACTACCGGACAGTTCAATTACCTCAGACTTGAGCTTGATAAGCCTGCAGAGCAGCCTTCCAGCCTGGGCATCTAAAGAAGCAACTGACAGCGTTTATGAACCTTTTTGGTTGCTGTGAAAAGAAAGTCATCTGTGTTAGTATCTTCCTGTTCAGTACCAAAATCCCCAGTTAAATACAAATGTTAGAACTAGGGAGATTCTGTTAATTTACAAAGAAAAGACTTAATGTCCCCCATACTGTCCGAAAAGGAGCTTTCACTGCTGCTTTCACTGCTGCTTTCACTGCTGCTTTCACTGCTGCTTTCACTGCTGCTTTCACTGCTGCTTTCACTGCTGCTTTCACTGCTGCTTTCACTGCTGCTTTCACTGCTGCTTTCACTGCTGCTTTCACTGCTGCTTTCACTGCTGCTTTCACTGCTGCTTTCCTGTAGAAAAAGAATTAATTTTCTTTTAGATTAAGGTATAATTCCTCCTGCTTGTATTTCTTTAAAAAAAAATCAAGTACTTCATTTTGGTTTTGATTTTTTTTTCTTTTCGTGTTAGAAAGCAAAGATAGTTCTGCAAAGGGAACTTAATCTTCAATGTCTGTAATACTGTTAGCTGAAATAGCTAATGGAGAAAATATTGCCCCTGTTGTTGGGCTGGGTATGAACTTGTTACTAGTGCTTACAATTTATTTTTTGCTTTAAAGTTTGAGGGCTCAGTAATAACTTAAGAATGGTAATACATAAATAAGTTTAGGCCTGTAGCAAACATAAGTATTTTTAAGGCTGCTGTATTAGTTTAAAAGCATGTGATTTCCAGTTTACAATGTTAACATTTCCCACATTGAATGCGTGTTTAGTTTCTTCAGTACTTACTGCGTTCGCAACAGCAAGAACCATGCTCAGAACGCAAGAAAGCAACAGGAATTGCATTTTGAGAGAGAGTCCTGTGAAGCAGATTGAAAACAAAGAGTTATAATGTCCTGGTTTTGGCAAAAGGAAAAACCTGGGGGGAGTATGGCTCTCCTCCGTGTAGAGAGAAAGGAAAATCAGACAGCAGGAGCTTCTTCCTAGTTGAGTATGGCTTGTGGTGTGACCTTAAGTGACATCTCTGTATCTTACTTGCTCATGTACATGGTCAGGATAAGTCATTATGGAATAAAGCTTGCTATGCTTCTGCTTCCTGCTGCCTTGTCTGTGCTTTGAGATCTTGTCAGCATTTTACTTCTCCTTGTTTTTTGTCTTTGATTTTACCTCTCCCTAACTTTACTCTTTCTTAACAATGCTTATGGAAGCCTTTTGCGATTTTTTGTTTTAAGCAACAGGCATAGCAGCAGAGCATTGGTATTCCTCTGAGTAGTTCTTGTCACATGCTCTTTTTTCAGACTCTCAGAATGGTTGAGGTTGGCAGGGACCTCTGGAGATTTAGTCCATTCCCCAGACACTCTCAAACAAGGTCAGCTAGAGCAAGTTGTCCAGGACTGTCCAGTCAGGTTTTGAGCATCTCCCAGGATGGAGAATACACAACTTCTCTGGGCAACTTACGTCAGTGCTTGACCACTCTCACTGTGGAAGAAAGTTTTTCCTTCCCATTCACAGTCATGCAGTCTACAGCCATACTGCAAATGATTTTTGTTATGAAATTTAGTCCAGGTAACATTAAAGCATCTGTATTACCTTTGGATTGCATGTTGAACAGCTGGTCTGTGGATCAGATGAAGTTGGCTGGCTCCAGTGATAGTGTTGTGTGAATGGCTGGTGTTTATATATACAGTTTTGAGTACTATGGCTTACGTCAGAAAACTACAAGACATCATGAATCATACCTTCTTAAGACCTTTTGGATGTTTAGTTTACTTCTCAGCTGATAAAGAAGCCATTTTTTTATGACCCCTACTAATCCTTGGAGGATTGACAGGTTTGGCAATGGAAGTGTGTATGTATTATAAAAGGAATATTTGTTGTGTGTTTTTTCAATATAGATATTTTGACTGTAGGGTTCTGCACTTTAGTGATGCTGGAGGAATACTTGGGTGATAATACCTAGAGTACTGAAGTTGCTAACTGAGAGGGAGTGTTACAAATTCAAAAATTACCTCCTTTTTCCTGAAGAAATGGGAACTTGTGAATTAAAGTCACTGCTACCTTTTGAGACCAGCTGTATACCGGCAGCATACTTGCAGTTTGAGAACTGTGCTTTCTGACATCTGACTACGTGCAGGTTAAGCAAAAAGCTATTGAAAGACAAGTCTCTAAGTTTTCAATTATGGTGCTTGCTTGGTCCTTCTGTTTGGTGATTATTTTAGTAGAAAAGTCTGAACTGGTAAATAAGTTTAAATTAATATATGTATCTGGGGAAAGTCTTGCAGGATGCAATTCAGAAGAAGTTGGCATTGTGTTGGAACTGTTTGAGACCACTGACATCAACAGCTCATCTCCGTGCTCTCTTCTGGGGACATGTCTGAAGGTGTAAAGCATAATACATACTTGTTGGATCACACATGCAGTTTAGTAAGGATGCGAGGTGAACTGTAAATTTGTTACAAAGCATCCTATTTGCCTGTTGTGGAGGCAGGACTGTTGAGCCAGAACCCATGGGTGAGGTGGTGGCCACCTGCATTTCCTTCTTTTTGGAGTCTTCCATGTGGCCATGCAGGAGGACTGAAAATGAAACGTAATGCAAACACATCTAGTATCAGTACAGCACTGATAAGGAGATTGATCTCCTTTGAAAAGGAGATTCAGATGGCCAAGTCAGTGAAAAGAGATAAGCCAGCTTGCCTTTGGCAGCTATATCTTTCTGGTTTGTTAATGTTGGATTAGATCCTTGCTCCTCTTCACGCAGAGGAGGCCCACTTAACTGAGCAATTTCACTAAATTTTGGAGGAAAGGTTTTGTGAGTTAACTGCTGTTTGGTGCCAGTTGGTGGAAACTAGACAGAGGTGGTGTTGCTCATTTGTGCTATTGACAACATTCTGTCTGTTCTTAAGCCTAAACTAACAAAATATATCTAAACTTTTTTCTGTTTTTAAGCCTATTTGTGTTGTCTTGAAAGCTCTACTCACAGTGACTCAAAGCCACATTTAATGGAGGAGGAGCTCATGCTTGCCTTGAGCTGAATGTCCTGCCTCATAGCAGGTGAGACCTAAATGGATGAGAGCAGGCCATTTCTGTTGAATTTATGGTCACAAGGATTAGTGATGTCCCTGCTCAATGCAGGGGGGTTGGACTAGATGACCTTTAAAGGTCCCTTCCAACCCAAACTATTCTATGATTCTATGTAGCTGATGAGGACACTTGCCCTGACATGTACAGTTCTAGGTCCTGAGGACAGACTTGATCTACAGAGGACTTAGCAGTGGTTGTCCTGGATCAGAGGGAAGGATTGTCTGGTCAGGTGTGATGTCTGTAGCAGTGGGTGCTTTGGCTTAGAATATGAGGAGAGAGGAAGTGCAGGTTGATGTTTCTCCTGGAATATTCTGCGTGTTGTCAGTCTTCCATTAGGGTTGGAAGTTATGGCTGCATCCTGGACTTTGATATCTGTTAATGGACCTATCTAAAAACATCTATCCCCATCTGCTTTTCTTCTCACTTAACATTGACCTGCTGTTTTAGCTGAAATAGAGGGAAAGTCAGTAAGTCAGATAATTTTAGTCCCATTCATGTTATAACCAGCTGCACGCAGTAGATAAGGTTGTGCCATGGTTTAAGTGTGAGCAATGGGTGCATTTGTGAGTGTACTCTCTATATGTGCGTATGTATGTGAATATGTGTGTATGTCTGTGTGCCTCAAAGGGTGCCTGAGTCTTGGTAGGAATATGATTTCACCATTTTCTCCCTTGTAGAGAGGGAAAATACTTATGACTAAACAGATGTTTAATTTAGGTTCATTAAAACTAAATGGAAACAATCAAGTCTACAGAAGGTCAATAAAATCACTAACTTTGTTACCTACTTCACAAAATGAAGAAATAATAAAGATTAAAATATTTTAAGCTAGAATATTAACAATATAGTTAAAGTACTGATGGGGAAACTAGCTTTCATTTATCATCCTTACTCTTAATGTTCTTATAATTTGTAGATTAAATATTGGTGGTGCTTGCCCCCTCGCGGACTACAAGAGCTCAGGTGAAAATTTTTTTCATACTGTGACTGTAGCATCTATCTATGCATACATTAGCAAATGCTCCTTTTCTGTGTCTTGCAGTGGAAAAGTGTAAGTGGCAGCATCACTCAATTTCAAAACAGGTGGGATGCTGATCTGCTCCTTAATACATTAGGTGCTTCATACATCCATGGCTGTAATCATCTTGGAGATGGTCATTGTTTGCCCTGCAGAACTTGGTCTGTTTAAAGGAAGATCTTCCCCATTTGCCCTGATAAATTCAATTTCATTGTATCTTTTTCTAGTACTTGGTTTGAGCAGAGCAATGGTGAGTATTAGCCTCAGTAAAGAATAGGTCAATCCCTTGTGAGTTGTCCTTGTGTGAACTATATTTGTTTTAAGGTGGTTGACTCTTGGCTGTAGAAAGAGCAAATAAGCAATAGGCTGCAGTCAGGCAGAAAAAAATGCTGTCACAATTACTTTTTCCCTGAGACATTTGAAGTCCCAGAGAAAGGGTCTTTTTCAAATGGAATTAGCACATAGAATGCTTTTGTACATGCAGTCCAGGTTGATTTATATATACGGCTGTGTGATGTTGTAGAATGTGAAGTGGGTGACAAGTCAGGCTTATGGGAGAAACTGTCAGTGAAACTGGTTTTGGTGGGAAATAATCTTTTGTTTGTGTAAGAAGTTCCTGTGTTGAAAACAATCATAGCTTGATTCATTGTCTCTCAGGGCATCAGGCTGGAGTTGGACTAGGATTAGCAGCCCTTGCTGTTTCAAGAGCAAATTATTAAGGGGCAAGTGGACTTCCGCTATATGAGCTACCAAAACAGCATTTCTGAATCCCATTTTCTTTTCATTGGAAAGGTGACATGGTTCAGGTGAAAGGTGTTTTCTGATCTTCCTTTGTAGGAACAGCATTTGGGGCTGCTTGCTTACAGCAGAGCATGCCTGGAGCGTTTTCAGTGAAGTGCTTGGCTTAAAATCACAAAGTTAATGGGATTCAGGAATAATCTCATTCTGTTGTGTTTTTTATGCCTACATTGTGCCTGTCTTCAGGCAAGCAAAAGTTGGGAGATGAAAGAATTAGTTAGCATTTCTTTCTCAGGAAAAATGGTAGCAGTAATTGGTGCTTCTGTGG